TTGTTTGTTCAAGTCATCCCACTGCCTTTGTTCAAAGTGTATACAAATGTTTTGTGATTGCTTTTGTAATAAAAATACCAATAACATATCAATACCATTGAATACAATTGTGTGATTACAATGATTCTGAATATCCAAGCTGCTCCTAAAAATGTAATTGTAAAACTAATAATGACAAAGTAATTAAATATTACAACGTCTTGTCTTTTCTTTAAGCTATTTGTGAACGTCCATGCGAGAACAGAGGAACTTGTACCGCTCCTGATCATTGTTCCTGTTTACCAGGCTGGGCCGGCGAAACATGTAACCAAGGTAATAATTGCAACATATAGGGTTGCCCGACAAGTATATAACAAGGTCACATTTTACAATTATAGTTCAATTGCTGAACTACATATGACAATATTAAGTGTCATGCACAGCATAACCATTCATTATGCGCTTCTGGTAATAATGACGAGCAAGGCGGTGTGTAGGCAAGGTTAAGTGGTGCAAGCAATATTTAACAATATGATTAAGTCTACATTAACGTAATGTAGATCACAATGTAAAGCTAGTACTGTAGAATTAGAGTATAATTTAAACATTGAATACTATATTATTATAAAATATTCACAACCCTGGAATTTTTGTTTATTGTAGTTTGTCCTCCTGGAAAATTTGGTATGGCATGTGCAGAAGACTGTACATGTGTGAATGGTGATTGTGATGGTGTTGACGGCCTTTGCTCATGCTATTCTGGTTACCAGGGCGCTAACTGTGATGTTGAGTGCAATGAAGGTTTCTATGGTCATGACTGTGGAGGGAGGTGCAAATGTCATAATCGTGCCCCATGTGATCATGTTGATGGTACATGTCAATGTCCTGCTGGATTTCAAGGATCAGTTTGTGACAGGATCTGCAATGTGGGATTTTACGGTGTTGGTTGTACTTTAACATGTCAGTGTCGCCATGGTGGTTTCTGTGGTCATGTTGATGGGTCTTGCAGATGTACACCTGGTTATACAGGTACGTTGTGTCAGACTAGGTGTGAAACTGGTATGTATGGAGATGGATGTACTTCTAGGTGCCAATGTCAAAATGGAGCTGAATGCCACCATGTAGATGGTTCTTGTACATGCGCTTCTGGGTACAGAGGGACCAACTGTGAAGACGTGTGCCAGGATGGTAACTATGGTATGAACTGTGCAGAGATATGTACCTGTGTCAATGGAGATTGTGACCATGTGAGCGGAAATTGCAGGTGTAGACCTGGTTGGCAAGGATCTGACTGTGATACTCCATGTACTGAAGGTTTCTTTGGACACCAGTGTTCAAATCCCTGCCTGTGTCAAAACGATGCACGGTGTGATGCAGTAACTGGCTTATGTACCTGTACGGCTGGCTGGCAAGGTACAAACTGTGATCAACAGTGCAATCCTGGATTTTATGGACAAGACTGTGCTGAACCATGTCTGTGTCAGCACCAGTCACCATGCTACCATATAGATGGAACATGTACCTGTAAACCTGGCTACACTGACCCTATCTGCTCGACAAAATGTCCAACGAACACATTTGGACAAGACTGTCAATATCCGTGTCAATGTCGAAATGGTGCAGCATGTCACCATGTAACAGGTGAATGTACTTGTACTCCCGGTTGGACAGAATATCTATGTGCATATCCTTGCCCAGAAGGAACATATGGAGCTGAATGCAGCCAAAGATGTGCATGTCAGAATGACGGTAGGTGTCATCATATTGATGGTAGCTGTTCTTGTTCTCCTGGATGGCAGGGTGATGTGTGCAACATACCATGTGATAGGGGATTTTATGGCACAGAATGTTCCCAACAATGTCGATGTGGTAATGCAGGTGACTGTAACCACATTGATGGAGTTTGCAGTTGCACTCCAGGTTGGGAAGGTGAACAGTGTAATAAGAGATGTACTAATGGTTTTTATGGTGACAACTGTAGAGAAAGGTGTGTCTGTCAAAATGGAGCAGTTTGCTTTCATATAGATGGAACATGCACATGTTCTCCTGGGTGGACAGGTGCTGATTGTTCACAACCTTGCCTACAAGGCACATTTGGACAAGACTGCAGTCAAACATGTTTATGTAAGAACGGTGCAGACTGCAATGCAGTTGATGGATCTTGTACATGTACAGATGGGTGGCGTGGAAGCGATTGTTCAAGCCCATGCCCAGAAGGATATTATGGTGTGTCTTGTGGGAGTAGATGTGACTGTCAAAATGCAGTTTCGTGTAACCATATAAGTGGGGAATGCACATGTAATCCTGGCTGGAGGGGACAAAGGTGTAACCGCCCATGTCCGCAGGGCACATGGGGACGCAATTGTCAACAAAGTTGTCAATGTTTAAATGGAGCGACATGTGATACTGTTGATGGTACATGTATTTGTGCTGCTGGTTATAGGTCATTCTGTGAAGAGGAGTGTCCAGAAGGTACCTATGGGGTTGGATGTATTGGTATCTGTCAGTGTGAGAACGGCGCTGCTTGCAGTCGGTTTGATGGTAGTTGTACATGCACAGCTGGTTGGTTTGGTGCTTATTGTAACCAGGCATGTGCAGATGGATTCTGGGGAGTTAATTGCAGAGAAGCCTGTCCATGTGAAAATAATGCTCGATGTAATCGGTAAGTGTTTTCATGATATAAGTATTTCCTAAATATTGGGGAAAAATTGATATTATATGCAAAGGTGTGATATGAGGTGATTATATTACGTGAATTGTGAGATGATAACAACATTTTAGGTCAGATTTCACAAATTTATAAGCAAATTAGAAAGTGGTTGCTTTTGAATACTCGCAAATCATGAAAGTTTGTTCCTTGTGAGATCTTCATTGTACGGTATATCATTGTACATGGTTTAATTTTTTTATGAAACTTGCATACCCATATCTTTATAAATTTCAATTGTTACTATTGATTTACTGTTTTATTACATTTGTAGTTTTGATGGAAGATGCTTGTGTGAAGCAGGGTTCACGGGTGATCGTTGTGAGACCATCTGTAGTCAAGGTACCTATGGCATAAATTGCCGAGGTCAGTGCCAGTGTGAGAATGGTGCAGCATGCTCACGTGTTGATGGAACTTGTTCCTGTACTCCAGGTTATATTGGAATATACTGCAGTCGCCCATGCTTGTCCGGGACCTATGGCCGTGATTGTCGTGAACTATGTGCGTGTCAAAACAATGCACCTTGTAATAATGTAGATGGCACATGTACATGCCCCGCAGGTGAGTAATCATGACACACTGCTGACACATACTAATTTCACTAATTATGTAGTTGGATTTAATTGATACTGAGCTAAAATTCATATTGTGGTACAACCTGATGATATGTTATGTACAGTAGCATATATTTATGATAATGAAATACAATGCATGTATAATGGACCACAGAAAGTGTAGCATAAACATCATATCGTTTTACTCAATGTGTGTACTTTTTGTACCTCACATGTCATTTTGTTTCAGTATTACATGGGTTAATTACTGTTAATTACATAAGCACAAATAAAAAAGTAGAATTAATTTGATCATTAGTAACGCTGGCATGTTACGCTGGACATCTTTCCAATTCGATTCTCGCATACTAGATTTTTGTACTAAAGTGGCACATATAATTTTATCAAACGCAAGTTGTTTTATAGATATACTTACTTATTTAGGTTTTGTTAGCTTTATGGTCAGCCTTAAACAATATGATGAAAAATAAATTATGCCATTCTAGGTCATGATATTAGTCATTGGCAGTGTATTGTAATAAGGCTTTGCTTTAAGTGTTACACGCAAATACCAGTTTAGAGAGAACAAGAAATATAATCACACCCACAAGGAACAACAATAATTTATTATCTGTGTACTTTTGCTAGGTTTCCATGGAGTTTTCTGTGATAGACCATGTCAGGCTGGGCGCTATGGTCCAGGGTGCATAAATCGTTG